TGAGAAAAAAAATAAGAGAGATCAAGGGAAATCAATTTGGATAGATCAAACTTGCAAACAAGCCAAACTCGGATGAAATTCTAGACAAATTGAAGTCAATGAAAGCAAGATTGAGGCTTTGAAGGTGAAGATGCTGGAAGAGGGTGCTGTCGGCTTGGATGGTGCCCTGAAGCGGCTGCAACTGAGGTCAAGTCTAATCACATGACCATTCAACCAGTCGCACGTGACACCCTCCCACGAGCAACAATTAGTATTCTCATTCCAGAACATCATTTTGGGATGAGAATCAGATTCACAATCTGAAGAGGCATCACCAGTTATGGTAAATGTTCTTTTAAATTGGAGAAGTGAAAATCTCTGGTCTTCAGGACAAGTATGGCGTGCGGAAATAGAAGAAGACGACCATGATGATGATGATGAAGAACATATAGTAATATATAGTAGTTGAGAAAACAAGAGAAATAGCGGAAGAAATTGATGAAGAAACATAAGTGAACTCATTTTGTTTTCTTATAGGTAGAAGGATTCAAAGAGAGATATGAAAAAAAGAGGAGAGTAAGAAGGATAGTAGTTTGATGATGGAGAAGGAATAAATGTATTACTCGTTCTTATACACACTGCTAAGTCTTTCTATGGTGGTGGTGAAGCAGCCCAGCCCAGCCATCATGATGCACCGCAACTATGTAATTGTATCCATCAGCCATCATGACATCCACCATCAGCCATGACTTCCAAGTTGGTTACAGTGAGTGCCTTTAATTCTAGTGATCCCAAACCTATTAAGTAAGGAATGGTTTTCCATAAACCAATGGGCAAATTACATCACATGTATTTTGCCCATTGCACCATTTTAGTTTGAGTAATTTTAATTAGCTCGATTTCGAACTCAATTTTATATTTTGTGTTAATTTGGTTCGATTGATAATGCTAATTAGGATTCTTTTGCCTATGAAAGCATGACACATGCCACTCATGTACCTATTTTTCATCGAAAAGAACTGCTAGTTGTAATCAATTGAACTAAATTGTGACAAAATCATAAATTAATGTCAAAATTCAGTCCATTGAAATTAAAAAGACAAAAATGACGTAAGAGCAAAAATATAAAGACTACTAATATAATTTTCCATGAATCAATTAAAAGTTGGTAATTGCCCCACCTATATACAAAGCAAGTAACGGAACATTTTGAGATCAATAATGCTACAATTATCACATTTTTATACCACTTTTATTGTACCATCTCATGTGTCAACCCATCATTGGTGTAATGGTTTCCACCATTCATGTTTATGTCAAATGATATGCTAACACATAAGCTAGTACATTAAATATGGTGTAATAAGGTGGTAAGTGTAGTATTATTCTTGAGATTGCTTTGCTTTTTTATTGAACAAAAGCATAAGCTCAAGATTCATCATTTTTTGTTATCATATAGTTTGAAAAATATATGAATTTGCTAGGGTTTTATTTTTCAAAATTTCTTTAATGAAATATTAAAAAAGAAATAGACCTTTTCGATTGTTTACTATATATATTTTTCATGGTACAAGGCAACAAAAAATGATGAATAGTTTGATCAAATTGTTGAGTATGATTTTGTTTGATATAGTTTATTCAATTTTTTCAATTAAAAATTATATTTTTTTAAGTAAATTAAAATTGTTTATATAATTGTTGTTCGTATTTTAATAACAATGGTATAATTGGAATAAAATAAATTATTAGGGAAAAGTGAACTTTTTTAGAATAAAAAATAACACTTAGTTGTCTACATTGAAATTTAATAAGACTCAATAATACTATTGAAAATAAGATTTATTGATATATTTTTTAAAATTTTTTGCACATTTTGTTATGCCAATTTGTGACGAAATTACGCATTTTATAGTTAATGCTATAAGATTTTGTAGTAGAATTGCACATTTTGTGCTAGAGTGCATATGGCATGTACCCCCCCTAAAGGAGTGTGGAGTGCACGTCATAGCATTTCCATATATTTAATATTATATATATAAATTGTTTTATTTTTTCCATTTTGAGAACTATATATATCATTTTATATGTAAGTATATTATGTTAAAATTAAATAAAATAAGTCTTACAATTTATGATTCATTTGATTAGAAAATTGATAATCACTCTTGTGATCAAAAACTAGAATACATAAACTATTGATAAAATTTGCCCAAATATATTTTGCGCGTTAATTCTAGTGGTCCCAAAGCAAGTCCAAATTGGTCCTAACTCAAGAAAATGTTAGAGTTGGTATTAGAAAGCAAGAGTAAATGGAAGACAAACCAACTTTGGGCAGATAAAAAGAGAGACAATTTTCCAAGTCATCCAACCAATACAAGGTCTAGAATTTGGCTCTTTATGTCAACTTTATACAAACCTTTCCCATCATCATGTTATAATTTTTTTCCATTTCAATTTTGGTTAAATATTGAGATATGATCTTATATACTCATTTTTATGATAAGAACTTGGGCTATTTTAATTGATTTTTTTGGCTATTTGGCTATTTTAGTCTGGCTAAAAAAGTTGTGTTTGGCATGATAGTTGACTTTTTTTTTTTAATTGATTTGATAGTTGTGGGAGAAAAAGTGAAATGATTATGATTTAGATGTGACATTTTGTCTTATTGATTATTTTAACTTATTTTGTCTTTATTGACTATTTTAGCAAAAATGAACCATATCCCAAACAGGCCAGACTCATTATGCAATAACTATGACAAACACTCCTTCAGGTAGATACTATTGCTTTATTCAGTAATTTAAGGCATGGAGCTAGTTTTGAACTAAAAAATTTAAGTAAATCTGATTTTGTTTATAAATAGAAGCCACAAGAGATAATCTAACAAAATAAAGTTTCAAAGATAAATTCTACATACCAGAATCCCAAGGGGTTGGTCAAGGAGCAAGGCCTTGGGCTTTGGGTGTGTGCTCCCTCCAAGGTTCAGGAATTGAAACCTCTTAGGTGCTAACAATTCCTTGGAGCCGTCAGACTAGGGGAAAACCATGAATTAACCATGGTGCACTTGCAGGAAACTCTTTGCCGAGGGCTTGTGCATCCCTGGAGATTAGTAGCGTTTTGATCCGAACACCCCAGTGCCAATCAAGATATATATATATATATATATATTTGCCAGGGTATTATTTTTCACAATTTCTTTAATGGAATGTTAAAATATGTATATATAATTTTTGGATTGTTTGCTAAATATATTTTTCATAGTACTAGGCAACATAAAATGATGAATCCTATGACATAGTTCTCTTGATCAAATTGTTGAGTATGATTTTGTTTGATGTAGTTTGTTCAATTTTTGAAATGAAAAAATATATTTTTGTAAGTAAATTAAAATTGTTTATATAATTGTTGTTCATATTTTAAGAATGGTAAAATTGGAATAAAATATATTATTAAGAAAAAGTGAACTTTTTTAGAATAAATTAGAAAAAAATAAGACTAAATTGTCTACATTGAAATTTAATACTCATTAATACTCTTGGAAATAAGATTTATTGATAAATTTTTTAAAATTTATTTTTGAATGGACTACATTGCTCTAGTTCCCCTTGATAATTGTAATAGACACAATAGGACAAAAACCAACTTGGGTGGATGAGAGATTTCTTAGGAATGTGATTGGAAATAAGCAGAAATTATTCAATAGGACTAAGCCAATATTCTATGTGGTTTGCCCTTCCAAGTGTATTGGGCCATATAACTAATTTTTACCACATTTTCTCCTACATTGGAGCCAAACTAATTATGTGTCTCATTGTTATAAGATGGGCACACAACCAAAAATTATCTAGTAAGTTCGGAATACCATGTGTCCATGTGTCCATCCAATAATATTATACAATTTCTCCACTATTTCCTTTTTTTTTGAAATCATGTATTCATTTAGCCTCTGTTATTTGTCAGGCACACAACCAACATAAAATTCTTGTAGAACAAAATAATTCCTCGCACATAACCACCTGGTAGAATAGCAACTATGATAATTAACCCAAGGCAGGCACGAGCTCAATAAATTGAACTTGGGTTATGCTCAAATTACCAACAAATTTGAGCTGAATTTTTTTTATTATCCACCCCTCAAAGATGACAATTATTTTATCATCCACCTTCAAACAAGCTAGACCAACATTCAAATATTGATTAGCACTAAAGTATCACCGAGTAATTATTTAGTATTAAGAAACTTAGTGGAGACAACCACATCTATGCTCATTTCCACCACTTCAACTTAAAAAATTTATTTTTTGTCATAAAGTATTTAATTAAGATTTCTAGAACAAAGTGACAAGAAAAAGGTGGCAAATCCAAATGCTAACAATAATGCAAAGCCTACAAGTGTTAGAAGGTATTAACGCGTGACATTCCAGTCATCGTCCACAAAACACAAACTGGGATCCCAAAATTTTGTTTAAAAAATTCTTGCCACAATTATGAAATTTTAACAGCCTATCACCCCTTTAAATCCAAGTCTAGAACTTTTCTTTCACAATTTCAAAGCCAAATCATAGAAGATAACTATATAACCTTAGGCATGTAAATCTTGTGGTCTTGTGTGTGATGTTTACTTCTTCAACAGTCCCAAATCCACAGGACATGATACCCAACCTCACTAATTATTGCCACTGGGGTTTTGGGTTGGAGGAAACCAAAACCACTATTAAATGTGGAGATTAATATCTTCATTGGATGTGTGTGACTGTGGCCAGCCAATAAAACTACACAAATCCTTTGATCTCTTTCATGCAGTAACTAACATTTTTATTGATACACATACCAAAATCAAACATGAATTTGCAAAGCCAATAATATTTTTACTTATCAAACCTGGCATAAACTCAATAACTTGAATTGTTAAAGAGTTTAATCCTAGCACAAAATAGAAATCTAATATGTTCCTATTCGTGACAACACTTACACCATTCAAAATTTCACCCAAAAATAATAATAATAATAATAATATGTACCTTCCAAAATGCAGAGAGACATATTATGCTGTGTCTTCAATAACCCCAATTAACAAACACACCAAAACCGCAATTATTCCCCGCTTCATAGAAACCTCGAGAAACCCTAAGAGAGTCGTCAACACCATGAATTTCATTATCTTTAGCTACAAAAGTCGCAAAGAGTGTATGGAACAACGCAATTGGTGGGAATTCAAGAAGAGAAATGCAGAATTCTAGAGAAATTCTTATAGGGAAATTCTTAATGGGTATCTGATTTGAGGGATCGAATGAGGAAAGAATATTGATGGATTGGGAATTGAGGCTTCGATTGCTACTACTTCCATGACAACTCTCTGTAAACAGATAAGATACAAATACTTTTTATTTATTTATTTATATATTTTTTTATTTTTGTGGTTGTGATTTATTTTACACATGATCTCACACCACACAAATTCAATTACAATCACACAATTTCATTCGGATAGATTCAAGAAAGTTAAGAGTGGGTACCTAATTATTCTTTATTTAGGAAAAGTCTACAATGTGCACCTTCCAAAACGGCATTTGATATGCACTTATTGTGTGGTCCATATTGTGCCGCATCATAAAAAGTAACCTACTAAACATGTAATTTAACAAGTTACATGAAGAATCATAACTTTTTTTAAAGATCATAACAATTACTACAATGAATCATAACAATGTCATAATATACACTATGATGTCATAACAAAGACACTATCAATCATAACAATATGACAACGACTCATAACAAATATAGTTATTTCCAACAAATTATCGTAACATTTTCTATTATGATTCACCACAACAAATCATAACTTTTGGTAGTACAAATCAAAACTTTTACTAATGAATCATAACCATAACACATTGATTGTAACTTCTTTTTCCACAATCATAACGACATTAACAAAATATCATTACTTTTACCAATGAATCATAACATAGCACATTGATTGTAATTTTGTTTCGAAAATCATAACAACATTAACAAAACATCATAACTTTTAAAATTTCAAACACAATTAATTGTGTAATCAATTGGCATAGCATATGAGAGTGAATGGAAAATCATAATTATTGCAAAATTGATTGGATTCAAAGACCACAATTGATTATACAATCAATTAGTAGCCAGGGTTTTGAACAATCACAATTAATTGTACAATCCATTTGGTATGTGTTTATACTATTTTTACTTAATCGATTGTACAATCCATTAGAATATAAGGAATATTCAAATATCACAATTGATTGTAGGGATCCTTGATATAATAAGCATAATTGATTCAATAATCAATTAGTTTTCATAAGCCACACCAAACCAATGAATTCCTAGCTTATCATAGTTCCCAATCAATCAGTAAAAACCTAATCATTACTATCAATTTAGTCAAGATTCGAATAGTAATTGATCGGTCATCATTTTTATCTAATTATGTTGTTGTGTTGCCATTACCTCAAACATTATCACTAACAAAAACACATGACACTCCAACTACGTCTCTCTCTCTCTCTCTCTCTCTCTCTCTCTCTCTCTCTCTCTCTCTCTCACACACACACATTATCTTCAATGTTAATGTTACCTGAAATGTTGTTGATATGACTATCTCGACGGCTCACTCTTTCTTTCCTTGTTATTATTAGTGAATTAGACAACAATGTTATTGTTACCAACTTCAATTAATCATGCCCTTTGATCCACTGAAACATAACCATCATCATCGACTTAGACCACTATAATAGCATTGTTGCCGCTACTAGTGTCATGTTGTTGTTATGTGTAACGCCCTCAAAATAATAACATTAAACCCATCCATATAGAGACATGCATTGATACATAAAAGGTCCACATTCATCTATTCATCAGAGTATTTCATTACAAAAGTATTACATGTTTACAACAAAAACAAATGCCCTACGGGCTTACAGCTTTCCAAGTTAACACTTGGTTACAAAAGAGAGTGCTAACTTAATTACACCTTAAGCCCTTGGCTTGAAACTATATGTAATACAATCAAGGAAAATAAGACAGCCAAAGTATGTCCGCCTCTAGCCTCCCAAGCTATGTCCTTAGAAGTAGCATGCTACCTGTACCTGAAAATGATGTCCCCATATAGGGTGAGCCACAGCCCAGTAGAAATATACTAAACCGACTATGAACAATGCCTAAAAGATTAGCAACTGATAGATGGTCAATACTTACACTTCCATTTACATCTTATTATAATTCCATGACAGTCAAGTCTATGTTACAATTCACTTTCCATTTCTTATTCAACTTTGAGTTTGAAAACAAGGCTCAGTACTCTGGTCAAAACATTTGATGAGATTATAGTTCATCACTAGAACACCTTCAAAATTCAAGGTGGATACACATTTTGGTGTTGTACCAATAACACATAGACCACTTCCATACTTCACAAATGATGATGATATACATTTTAGTGCTATATCAAATCAAACAAAACATTTCAATAGATAAGCATATAAGCCATATCACACTACAACAGATAGCATATGAGCTATATCAAACACTTCAACAGATAAGCATATGAGCTATATCAACATTACAACAGATAAGCATATGAGCTATAATCAACATTACAATGGGAGAGCATATGAGCTGCATCCCTGGGTCCATCCCCCATCTTCCCTTAACCGTTAACCGGTTTAGAGGTACATCCCCCATCTTCCCCTAAACCATTAACCGGTTTAGAGGTACATCCCCCATCTTCCCCTAAACCGTGAGTACATCCCCCATCTCCTCCCATACACAAGTAATGCATATAAACACAGAATCACATACGCAATCAATCAATACAAAAAGTTAATGTATTCCATCAACTGTCTACACATAATGCATATAAACACATTGGCCATATGCACAATCAACCAACACATAAAGTTAATGTATTCTATCAACTGTCATACTCTATGACACATCCAATTGATTAGTTTTAGTTTGCCTAATCATCATGCATTGTCTACAACAATCAACACTACCCTTCACCGGTAGCCCAAAGCAATTATTTCTAAGCAGGAAATAAATGCACAAATGGATAATATATCAACAATTTCGACTAGATGAGCAATAAAAGATTCAGCCACACTCTTTTTAGTCCCATACATTCCCAATTTCAACATTCTCAATTCAATTCCTCGTTTTCTTTAATTAATTATATGCGTTAATTAATTAAACCAATTAGGGCAAATTACCATAATTCACAAAACAACCCTAAGGTTCCATTTCCATCAATGTCCCAACATTAATCTCATTTCTCTATGCCTAACATGCATATAGGTTTATATATTTAAAACCCCAACTTTTGTAAAATTACACAAAAGATCCAAACTTTCTCAAATCTACCCAACAACACTCAACATATCAAAATGCTAAAATTCAAAGACAAAGCTCATAAGATGGAGTAGGTTATCCCTACCTCGAATGATGGGGCTCAACGAAGGAGATGAAGAAACAGAAATGCTCCAAATCCCAAAATTTTTAGATTAAAAGATAGTCCTCGACGATCAACACAACTTTTGTAAAGACCAAAGGTAAGGAGAACACCCTAGCTAGATCAAACCCTAGAGAGAAGGGAGATTCTAGAGAGAGGAGCTCTCAAAAATGGGTTTTTGAAAAAGTTGGAGAGAGAAAGAAAAGTGAAAAGTGATTTAAAATCACCCAGCGGATAACTCATATACACACGACCCGCTCGAGCTGAGAATAGAACGCTCGAGCGTCAGGCACAAATATCTGGTACCGCTCGAGCGCCAAGAAACAAAAGCAAAATACATCCGCTCGAGCGTGAAGAACTAGTCCGCTCGAGCGCAGATTTTCATCTCCCAGAACTTTTCAGAAAGAGAACTACCCGCTCGAGCGCCAACAATCCCGCTCGAGCGCAAGAAACCCGCTCGAGCGTAGAAAACACACCTGCAGAAGTTTTGCAGGGCCACGAAATACTGGAAGTGTATAAACCCCGCTCGAGCTCAAGAAGACCCGCTCGAACGGACAACCAAAAACCAAACTCCGCTCGAGCTCAGGATGACCCGCTCGAGCGCAACACCAAAAAAAAAACAGAATGACCCGCTCGAGCGTAACACAAAAAAACTGGGCAACAACACTAGAGACCAAAACTCAATCTACCTGTTCGAAACATACCCAACATATCCTAAAACTCAAACACTAAGAGTAAAGGATAAAAACGAGAATAAGACGACAACACAACCACAGGACTGAGTCCGGATTACAGTTAAGGACGAAAGGGAAAACCGGGATCGCTATATTATGTCCAAATGATGACGTTGGTTATAAAACACTTTGACACATTTATGACTCTAGCACATACCACTATTAGTCCTTGCCTATTATTTCGTAGTTGGTCACTACCTTTTTACCGCACTCCTTTTTAAAAATAATAAATTGTATTTTCATCTTTAGATATATATATTGTTTGTCATTGTACCCACCTTAGTCCCTATATTATTTCTCTTTTCTTTTTTGGTCCAATTGCTAACTTCTGAGGGTCACTTTAGAATTTTAAAAATTAACTTTCCTACTTTGATCACTTAGAAAACTTTGTTTTCCCACTTCAAAATAGATAGGTCATGGCAAGCGGTAAATGAAAGTGTTCTACAATGGAAGATTGCATGTTGAGGTGGTCGATGGCGGAGGCTTTCATACAAATGAAGGTGAACTTGACCCATGCCGCATTTTCCATCACAAAAGTATAACATTTGTTACAATTTGGACTAGAGTGAAAAGAATATAATAGTTTCGAGACCAAAATGAGAAGGCATTCATAGGTAAGCGGGGTGAAGGTGTAATTTACCATTTTACAAAATGTAAATCATGCACTAATCTGTAAAGAAATTATTGATGTAAGTAATATCATAATAATTAATATTTATTATTAGAAAATATGCTAACATAATTTAATATGAAGATTTAATAATTTTAATAAAGGTAAAAGAGGAAATATCATTTTGCCTCTCATACTATCATTGAAAAATTAATTTAACCTCCGTTATTTTAATAATATGAATTTAGGCTTAGTTTATTTGATTTTGGATTAATTTTACCCTCGCAGACATGACACTGAAATTTGAAATTTCATTTTACCCTCCACTTTCTATAAAATATCAATTAGACCTCCAAACTTCATTTTATTCAGAGAACTAATTGATATTTTAGGTGCCACATGAGTAACTTCTATT